TTCAGCAATGAGTTCCTCCAACTTCTGCATTCACTGCTGGGGCTCCTTCTTATCTCCTTCCGACAAATCATATTCCCCATCGCCCACTTGGAGCATATTTCGACAATCGATGGTGCAAATGCCGTCCAAGAGAGTGCCCAGCCGCGTTCCTGCCGCTGGAGGGCCATCTTGGGAACGTGGACGATTGGCCTCCTCGGAGAGCTTGAGCTTGATGCCGGCGATCTTGGAGTCGAAAGCGTCGAGCTCAACGCTGAGCTCTTGAATCTTCTCCCTCTGCCGTGCCATGCTCTTTTTTTCCCACTTGTCGACCAGGCCCAGCTCTTCTTCTACTTGATATGACCATCTCTCTCGTCGACCAATAGTAACAGCTGCTTCTCAGGCGGCAGAGATAGAGGGCCAGCAGCCAGGCGGTCCAACTCTAGCAGGCGGAGCTTGCACTGGCTGGCAACCATGGTGAGGCCCTGCTCGCTGGCCAGAGCCGAGAGCTGCTGGACCTCTTCTCGCTGCATCCTGTGGACGTCGAGCGCCATGGGGTCAGCACCGTTGGCGAACTGGGGCCCGGCGCGCAGAGGTGGGCGTGGGTCGCCTGGCTGCCCTTTGCCGTCGCCTTTGCCCTTGCCGTTGCCTCTGCCTCCTGCTGCATCGCCCCCAGCGCCGCGCCCGCGGCCGTTGCGCCAGCGCAATAGCTTGCCTGGCGCCTCGGCCTCTGCCGCGGCCAGCTGCTGCTCGGGCATGGCTCCTTGGAGTAGAGGGGCGCGCCGTACTGGAAGCAAATGTTAGCCGACCTCTTATTCTTTCCACAGCCGCACCACCAACGTTTGAGCAAGTCTGGTTTAGCGGCTGCGAGCTTCCACTCATCAGCAGCAGAGCGAGAATAAACCCAAGGCGCATGCTGTTTGGTCGTGCGAGGCTGAACACCTCAGAGCTATAACAATGAAAGTATGTGAAAGGGAAGAGCCTCCAGCCTTGGCAAGCTGAGAGGGAGACTCTGAGCTGTCGGGGGCCGTCTCTCCCCCACACCATAATGCCAAGTTCTGAGCGAAACCGCTACGGACTGGAGCCAAAAGGGCTACGGAGGAGGAGGAGGTGGAGGAGGAGGAGGAAGAGGAAAAGGAACTCCTCCTCCTCCTCCTCCTCCTCCTCCTCCCTCGTCCTCGTCCTCGTCCTCCTCCTCTTGCTCTTTGGCGCGAAGAGAACTGGGCGAAGCGAGCTGGGCAAAGCGAGCCGGGCGAAGCAAGCCCTGGGCGAAGCGAGCCAGGCGAAGCGAGCTGGGCGAAGCAAGCCCTGGGCGAAGCGAGCCGGGCGAAGCGAGCTGGGCGAAGCGAGCCGGGGCGAAGCAAGCGCCGGGCGAAGCGAGCTGGGCGAAGCGAGCCGGGCGAAACGAGCCGGGGGGCGAAGCGAGCTGGGCGAAGCGAGCCCGGCGAAACGAGACCTGGGCGAAACGAGCACACGCCGCATGGCAGACCTCCTCCTGGGTCTACTGCCAAAAAATAAGAGAGGCAGGCCAGAGACAGGGGCGACCCTGCCTGTGAGAGAGCCTCGCGGCGGGGCTGGCAGACCCTTCGAAGGTCGGTCCAAGGGCCCCGCTCGACCGAGACCCCGGCAAGCTTGAGGTGCTTGCCGCGGCAATCTGCAGCCCACGCGCTCGTAGCTCCCGCGCTTTGGGGGAGCCCAGGAGACATGAGGAGAGGGTCGGCCGCCGACCGTCGCGCGTTTGAGTGAGTTCGGCCCGCCCCCCAACTTCCCCTGCCTTCGGGGGGGTGGGGTGGGGGAGGAGGCTGACGAGGAGGAGGAGGAGGAGGAGGAGGAGGAGGAGGAGGAGGAGGAGGAGGAGGAGGAGGAGGACCAGTGTAAACCCAAGAGTCATCAACGATGTTGGGGTAAACCCTCCCTCCAAACTCCCTCTTCATAGGCCCCTACAAAAGTTCATATCCATTGATGGAACTGCCTCGTTGCAAGACACCCGTTTGAAGACCCTGAAATATACCAAAACATTGTTCTCGGGATCCCAACGCCTCGGATCAACGTGATTGTTGCGTCTTGACGATCCTGAATCGTGCCAGAACGCCATTCCTAGGAGTTCAACACAGAGGATCAACGTAACTGTTGCGCCCGTGTAATCCTGAATCTTTCCGAAACACCATTTATGGTACGTTGATGATGGGAATCCGTGAAGATCTGGCAAATTTTCAAAACGAGTATGCGCGGTGCTCAAGCGCGAGCCACACATTGAAAACGACCCGCCTTCAATGCGTGATGCTCGTGCAATTTTTTACAACGAATGCGCGCCGCGCTTAGGCGAGAGCCACATTATCAAAAGGACCCGCCCTCAATCCGTGAAGCTCTTGCAAATTTTTGAAACGAATCTGCGCGGCTCTGAGGCGAGAGCCTCATTTTGAAAACGACCCGCCCTCAATCCGTGAAGCTCTTGCAGTTTTTGACACGAATGAACGCGGCGCCAAAGCGAAAACCATATTTCGAAAACGGGCCACCCTCAATCCGCGAAGCCCTTGCAAATTTACAAAACGAGTGTGCGCAGAGCTACAGCGAGAACCGCACTTTGATAACGACCCGCCCTCAATCCGTGAAAATCTCGGACATTGTTGAAACGAATCTGCACGGCGCTGGGGCGAGAACCACATTTTGAAAACGACCCGCCCGCAATCCGTGAAATTACAAGTTTTTGAAAACGAATGAACGCGGCTCTAAAGCGAGAGCCAAGTTTTTAAAACGACCCGCCCTCAATCCGTAAAGCTCTTGTAAGTTTTTTAAAACGAGTGTGTGCCGCGCTGAAAAAAATAACCGCACTTTGAAAACGACCCGCCCTCAATCCGTGAGGCTCTTGAAAAGGTTTCAAAGGAATGTGCGCGGCTCTAAGGCGAGAACCACAGTTTGAAAACGACCCGCCCTCAATCCGTGAAGCTTTTGCAACTATTTAACACGAGTGTGCGCGGCGCTGAAGCGAGAGCCACATTTCGAAAACGACCCGCCCTCAATCCGTGAAGCCCTTGCAAATTTCTAACACGAATGTGCGCGGCGCTAAAGCGAGAACCACATTTTGAAAACGACCCGCCTTCAATCCGTGAAACTTTTGAAAATGTTTAAGACGAATGTGCGCGGCGCTAAGGCGAGAACCACATTGCGAAAACAACCCGCCCTCAGTCCGTGAACATTTTGAATTTTTTCAAACGAATGTGCGCGGCGCTCAAGCGAGAACCACATTTTGAAAACGACCCGCCGTCAATCCGTACATTTCTTCATTTTTATTTGAACGAATGTGCGCGGCGGTAAGGCGAGAGCGATATTTTGAAAACGGCCCGCCCTCCATCTGTGAAAAGGTTGTCATAAGTGGTGAGGAAGTCTCAGGCGAAACGCCAGAGCGCCCCAAAAACTAGCCTCGGGATGCGGGAGGGAGGAGTTATGTATAAGGAAAGGGAATGGAGGAAGAGAACCTGAATTGCGTGAGCTGCTGCGCGCCCTGCGCAGCAAGGCCGTCCAGGGATGGGGGGTGGAGGGTGAATGGGGGGGAGGGTGGGGGTGGGCTGCGATGAGGACGAGCGACGCCCCGCCCATTAGAGGCGATGGGTAACCTCTCGGCGGTCGTTTCGGCAGGGCAGGCTGTGCTAGCACGACCTATTCGCAGATAGTCCCATAGTTCCAGGAACCTAGGATGCATCAACGCTGCTGCAATATGCTGCAATGCCCCCCCCATCCTTAGACACCTCCCCACAACGATCGACAACGATCACAACGAAAGGATAACAACGACCAATGATCAATGACAACGATCACAACGATCACAACGATCATAACGATATCGATAACGATAACAACGATAACAACGATCACTGGGTACATCAGGGGAAAAGTATTGATCGTTGTGCCATTCTCGTGAGGGTCTCGCGCAGGAGAGGGACTGTTCCGCATCCTGCTGACCCAAAGGACACGAAGCAGCAGGGCAATTAAGTTCGAGGTCGTATCATGCGATAGTCCCGTCTTCAAACGGAGCCGCCCTTCGTCCGCGCAGTTGTCGAACACACATGCGCTTCTGCAACAACTTCTCCAGTTTCCGAAAACGTCTGTAGCGAGCACTTCATGTTGCAAAGCTATCACTGTCCATATCACTGTTCCACAATCCCGTATTCGCTACTTAGAATTCAAGATTTTGCTGATGAGCTTTAACGCTGGAGCCCGACTTTGAGGCCGAACCGCCATCTATTCGGTTTGCTTTTACAGAGGCGTGAACTTTCAATGAAGCAAGAACCTCATGCTGAAAAGAAGCCGTCCTCCACACTTATAGCATGCATGACTGTCAAGAGCAGCGTGCACGGAGCTAAGGCGAAAGCCACTCTTTGAAAACGATTCGCCCTCCACCCCTGTCCCTGCTGAAAACATTGCAACAGCATTCGTGCGGCACCAAAACGAAAATCCCACTTTGCAAACCACCAGCCTCGCCGTCCATCCTGGTTGTTCCTCTGAAGCTGTTAACAGACGAATGTGCGCGGCGCTAACGCGAGAACAAAGCAACTCGTCTCCACTCCACTCAGGCGAAACACCCCCCTCGCCGTATTGACACGTGGCGCGGCGAGGAGTCGCTTGTAAGGAAGAAGGATGGGGGATGAAGAGGGGGAGGGGGAGAAGGAGGAGGAGGAGGAGGAGGAGGAGAAGCGTGCGGGGAGAGTTAATTAAGGTCCTGACCCGTTCGGGCCCTCGGTAGCGTTGTTGTCGTTTCCTTCTTTGTCCCCTCTGCCCCGTCGCTCGTCTCTTCTCCCATCGTTTGGTCTCCCCGTCGTCGCCGTGTGTATTCTGACGTCGCCTCGAAGAGGGAGAGGCTCTCAAGCGATGCTGCGTCGGATCTAGTTTGGTGGTGCCTAGCGGGTAGGCTTGCCCCAAGCCGGCATGGTAGTTTCAGAGGTGACTCGTGCTTTGAAAGGGGTAGCAGTAACAGTAACAGGAGGGGGAGGAAACGTAACCCAGGAGCGTGAGGAGGCCGAAAGAACTTTCACGACACGGAGCCAATCAACTCTGCCCGCCAGCGCCGGGGTCGTCAACAGAAAGCCGCCCTCTAGGTCTGCACGGCATTGCATGGTGAGGCCCAAACCCAGAAGTGAAAAAAAAGGCGAGTCCTCGACTGGGAAAGGATACCGTGTCTCCCAAGTGTGGCAGGGCATGTCGCCTGGGCCGATTGCGAGGCGACTCCGCTCGTCCTCTGGTCGCACGCTCCACAACGAAGGCTCTCACAAGCATTGATCCAGTCTCGGGTACCGGTAGCCACAGCGAAGACACTGCCAAACATTGATCCAGTTTCGGGCTCCAGCGGAGCAGCCCCGAACCACTGATTGAGTATTCGCGGCGCGAGGATCCAACCCCGAAGCGGTGACTCAGATGGGATGGGGCCACGGCCCCGCGGCATGCCAGAGAGAGCGTGCTCACTTGTGGAGCGGCCTTCATCGCTGGCGCACCAACTCGGAGGATGAGGAGGAGGAGAAGGGCCAGTGTAAACCCAAGAGTCATCAACGATGTTGGAGTAAACCCTCCCTCCAAGCTCCCTCTTCATAGGCCCCTACAACGGTTCATTTCCATTGATGGAACTGCCTCGTTGGAAGACACCCGTTTGAAGACCCTGAAATATGCCAAAACATTGTTCTCGGGATCCCAACGCCTCGGATCAACCTGATTGTTGCGTCTTGACGATCCTGAATCGTGCCAGAACGTCATTCCTAGGACTTTAACACAGGGGACGGAGGAGGAGGAAGAGGAGGAGGAGAATGAGGAGGAGGAGGAGGAGGGCGTGGCGGGGGAGCGAGACGTGGAGGAGAAAAGGGGCAGGTGCAGAAAATATATGAGCTGGAAAGAGGGCTCGCTAGCCACATTAAGTCTCAAATCAGAGGTGGCGCGTCCACCGTCTGCTCGGCAGAGCATTTCTCAAGCAGAATGGCTCAAGACATTAGCTGCCGGTATTCGGGAAGAGCGTCGATCAGAGATGAGATGGGGTGAAGAGGTGGTGCATGCGGTAAGATCTGAAAGATGGCGGTGCAAGCGATGAGAACTGAATGATCGACGCCCACTCGGTAATTCCCAAAAAACACCTCGGCAATCGGCGATAGCAGATGGCCAACTGCCTACCGCAAGTTCCTATGGACTATGGTGATGGCCGCCGCTGCGACAAATAACATATTTTGAGGATCCCTTCGGAATCCAGCGGGCTGCTCGCGGCGGTGGGCCTTGGCACCGTGACGCTCGAGGCGTAAACAAACACAACAATGAATTAGCCACACTTCCCTGTGGGCGGTGACGCGGCGCAACTCATATGGGCTGTCCGAAATTTCAAACAAAAAAGTGGATGGTCCGTCTACCTCCGCGTGCTCTTCTTGGCACGTACGAGTGCCGCGAAGCATGGACTACCAAACAAGAGGCCAGAACGAGTCTCGCACAAAAAAGTGGATGGTCCGTCTACCTCCGCGTGCTCTTCTTGGCACGTAGAAGGCCGCGAGGCATGGACTACCAAACGGGAGGCCAGAACGAATCTCGAACAAAAAAGTGGATGGTCCTTATACCTCCGCGTGCTCTTCTTGGCACGTAGAGTGCCGCGAGGCATGGACTACCAAACGGGAGGCCCGAACGAGCCGCGCTGACGCAAGCGCTCGATCCAATGGTGTCGCCTGGGTGGTGTGGTGTGCCGTGATGCGCAAGTGTTGTGGTTTCGTGGTGTCGTCTGCACGGAGAGAAGTGTGGTAATGTCGCTCTCAAGCGAAATCGACGATCGCAGAAAAGCCAACGCCACACCAAACACACGGAAACTCAGCATCGAACGAATGTTTCGGCTAAGGCGAGGGCTGAGGGCAAACAAGCCAACACTCAAGGGTTGAGGGCAAACAAGCCAACACTCAAGCTACACTCGACTCAGAAAGTAACATATCGAGCTCAAATCCCATTCCTGGCTAGAGCTAGCGCAACCACAGTAGCGACAATTAACACCATATCCACTTCCAATCCGCCACCGTGCCTCAAGGCACGGTGTGGAGTGTCCTCAGGTCCCTTCGTTCGAGTCCTATCTGTCGAATATTAAAAATGATGTTCAAAACGCCCAAGGCTTCCGATCCCGGGACTTCGCGGGTTTCCGCATTTTTAGGGCGCCCCGAGTGACTCGTCCTGAGGCAGGGGAGCTTCCAGAGGCCCACATCATTTGTCTCTTGTAGTTTGTTGAAACGATTTTGCGGATCTCGCCTTTTCGGGTGTTCACCGCGTGAAGACGGCCCACGGAGACCACCACATCGCCCCACGATGGCCCAAGCAAGCCCCAAGATCAACCCATCCTGGCCCAAGAGGGCCCCCAAGACGGCCCAGGAGGCCTCCAAGACGGCCCCAAGAGGGTGAACGCGAAGGGGCCTTTCGAGCCCTCCACCCCAAACTGGTCCTAGGATCTCCCAAGAGGCCTGCGAGACGCCCATAACAGGTCCGAAGAGGCCCCAAGCAGCTTCCAAGAGGCTTCTAAGCGGCCCCGACGACGCCCCGAACTGGCCCCCGACGAGCCCCTCAAGTGGCCACCGGGAGTCATCTCCAAAGAGCCTGACATGCATCCAAGAAGCATCCGACCCACAACTCTGGCAGGATGGGCCGACTGCGACTAGTTACATCATCTGACTATGGGGCGAATGCGAGATGAACACGCAAGACCCCCCCCGAATTTAAACAACCATAACTTGCGTTTAAACAATCTGACGAATATTCGAACGCGGCTCGACACCGAGCATTACTTTTAACTCCAAGTGAACAACTCACCAGCAATACTAAAACGGTAATCCATGCTACGGCTCAAACACCTATGTCAGTACAAGTTCCAACGTGCAATTCAACTGGTTAAGTGAGATACGCGTGCACTCAACGGAGGAGGAGGAGGAGAGGAGGGGACGAGAGAGGGACCAGGACAGGGCGATGGTATTTTCATGGCAGCGTGGCGACGCGCATCTCCGCCGAGCGTGGGCCCTGGTGGCCCCACGCTCAACGCGAGCGCGTGGGCCCTGACGGCCCGCGCGCTCGCGCTCTGGCACGCCTGCGGCCGCTCGGCCGACGCAGGCGTCTGGGAGCAAAGCGGGGTGGGTGGGCACCCGCGCGTCGGCCAGAGCCGAACGCTACGGACCCAAAATGGCTACCTGAGCCCACACCCCCTCCCACTTAACCTGCAGTCTACAACCAATCAGACTATACAAGTTAAGTGAGATACGCGTGCACTCAACGGAGGAGGAGGAGGAGAGGAGGGGACGAGAGAGGGACCAGGACAGGGCGATGGTATTTTCATGGCAGCGTGGCGACGCGCATCTCCGCCGAGCGTGGGCCCTGGTGGCCCCACGCTCAACGCGAGCGCGTGGGCCCTGACGGCCCGCGCGCTCGCGCTCTGGCACGCCTGCGGCCGCTCGGCCATGAGAAAAGAAAGACGCAGCCGCGCGCGCGGGGGCGCCCCGCCCGAGTGCGAGGGCGGGATCAGAGGCTGCAAGAGCCTCGCGCGCGCGGCCACTTGCCTGCAACCTTGAGGCCTTCCGCGCCCGCGCACCCAGAGCGCGGGCGCGGCGCGTGCGCGATGCGCGCAAAAGAACCGAAAAGGGTGGCGGCGCACGAGGCGCCGGGCGCAGAGCGCAAGTGTGGCCCCGACCGCACGGCGCGCAAGACGCGCAGCACGGCCGGGTCCAGGAAGCACGCGACGTGCGCGCAACGTTAAACTCCTCCAAGAGGGAGGATCGCAGGCGCCACCTGCGTACCGTAGGCTAAAAGAAAGAGATCGCAGGCGCCACCTGCGTACCGTAGGCTAAAAGAAACAAGATCGCAGGCGCCACCTGCGTACCGTAGGCTCAAGGATCGCAGGCGCCACCTGCGCACGGTAGGCTGAGAGGAGGGCCGACTCACTCACAGGCCGCCGCCTTCAGCCCGCGCCCGCGATGCCGCGGGCGCTGGCGTCGGGGTACGGGGGGGGAGCTCCACGCCTAGATGGAGGGCGTGTTCCCCCGGCGGTCGCGGCTCTCGTCTCCGCTGCGGTCTCCGCCGCGCTCACTGGGGTCCCGGGGGCTGCCGCCATCGCCGCCCCTCGACGCGCGACCGTCCGCGCTGGGCCAGTCGCGCTCACTCCGGCCGCGGCTGCCCTGGTCGCCCTTGGAGTGGCCGCCCTTGCCGCTCTTGTCGCCCTTGCCGCCGCTCTTGGAGCCCTTGGCGGCCTTGCCGGAGTACTTGCCCTTGACCTTGCCGCCCTTGCCGCCCTTGTCGCCCGCGCCCTTGCCACGCCAGGCTGGGATCCCACCCCCGCCCGCGGCAGCCTCCGCGGCGGCAGCACGCCGCCGCTTTTTCTCCTGCTCGTACCAGCCGCCGCGAGGAGCGCGAAGCTGCCCAGCGTGCTTCCCGGTCTTACGCCGCGTGCGGCCGGGCGGGGTGTCGCCGCGCCGCGCCCACGCTGGGTCCCGCGCCAGACTGTGGCTGGGCGACCTCTCGCGCTTGGGCCGGTGGCGGCTGGGCGACCTCTCACGCTTGGGCCAGCTGAGGTCGCCCGGCGGGCGGTCCCCCTCAGCCCCCGCACCCGTGGCACCCGTGCTGGGGCGCTCGCCATGGCCGACACTGGGGCCCGGCGCCTCCCGCACGGTGTGGCCGCTCCGCCGGGCCTTCTCCACCACCGTCTTGGGTTTGCCGAAGGCGACGCGGCAAGCCTCGCAGTAGCTCACGTCGCACCCCTTACAGTGCCACCGCAGGGCTCCGCTGTTAGCTCCGCCCGCGGGGCACATCTCGCAACCCCAACCGTCTCCCGGGTCAAAGGAGCTCCAGCGCATCTTGAGTGCGCATGTCGGGCAGGCAGGCGGCTGGATGGTCGGGCCATCCTCCCCGTCGCTGCCTGGGTCAGGGCCGCGAGGCCGGCTCGCCCACTCCGTGACCACCGTGCACGGGTCCGTCTTGTAGAACCGATAGTTCGACCTCATGCACTCCCGCGCGCGCTTTGCGTCAGCGCGGCGCTGGAACTCCACCAGCACGCACGGCTCCCGCTTGTGGCGGTGGTCGTACAGGAAGGCGATGTGTTTGACGACCCCGAAGGGCACGACCACCTGCCTGACCACCTCGGCATCGACGTGGTGCGGTACCCGCTCGATGCGGATGATGGACTCGCCCTCGTCGTGCTGGTCACTGGGCTGCTGCTGGGCGCCCTGGCGCTGCTCCTCCTTGCGCCTACGGCGGCTCCTCGAGCGCGGCTGGCGCTGGGGCGGACCGTCCCCCGCGCCTGGCGCCGCCGCCTCCTCCACCTCGGTCTTCACCTCGAAGGACCGCGGCGGCGCCCCCCCGCTCTTGGGCTTCAGGACGGCCTCACGCTTCACGATGTCGGCCTTCGGGGGGGCGCCGCCCGTCTTGGGTTTCAAGACGGCCTCCTCCTCCTGTCCCCTGCGCCCGCGATCGCGAGGCGCATCGCGCTCGCGATCGCGGCGCCTCGCGCGCGAGGGCGAGCGCAAGGGCGCAGGGCGCCTCTCGCGCTTGCGGACCTCTTCGGCGAGGCGCTCCTGGCCCGGCGACCGCGCGGGCCGCGGGCGCGCCTTTGGAGCGCCTTTGCTCTGGCGCCGCGCGGCAGCCTGGATGGCCGCACGCGCCAGCGCCGCGGTGACCGCGTCCTCTCCCGCCTCGAGGACCGGGGCTGGGGTCGACTTCCCCTCGCCCCTGCTCGAGGCGTCGTCGTCGGTGAGCTCCACGACCGCCTCCGCGTCCACTGTGCGCATCATGTCGAGCAGCCCCTTGTTGTGCTTGCAGAGCTCGCGGAGCTCCGGCATGGGCTGCCCCTGGAACTGGGCCAAGGCGAGCGCCAGCTTGGCCGCCTGGCGCTGGACCTTGATATTCGGCCCCGCGCCCACCCCCCACGCACCCCGCTTGCCGTCGACGATCACCAGCTGGCCGTGGTCCTCGCTCGCCCCCGCGGCCAAGCAAGCCGCCGCGATGCACGGGGCTGCTTCGTGGTCGTGGTTGACCACCTCGACGAGGTCCTCGCTGTCCAGCTCGTTCACCACCGTGTACAGGATGTTGTGGGCGGCACTCCGGAGCTCGTCCGACAGCGCGGCCCCCGAGACGACGACGCCGAGGGGGTTCACCGCCATGATGCTGTAGTCATGGCCACGCGCCTTGCTCTGGTCCGGGGCCACCAGGCCCACCAGGAATCCCATGATGCACGCTGCCGGAGCGCGGGGCGACGGCGCGGCTGGCGCGCGGGGCTGGGGTGCGCGCGCTGCTCGCGCGCCTCGCTCTGGAGTGGGAGATGGCTGCGGATGAGAGGACCAAGAGGAGGTGGGCGTGCCTGGGGCGATCGGGAGCGGTAGCGAAAGGGGGGTCGAGGGCGAGAGGTCCACCGGGATACCCCCACAACGCGAAGCCCCCGCCCTGACCTGAATACCCGTGGGACCCGCCTGCTGCTTTCCCACACGCCCATTAACTCCTCGCCCTGGCTCGTATCTCACCAATTCCTCCTCTCCTTCCTCCTCCGTAGTTGACCCTGCTCGCGCCGAAGGGCGCGCCCAGGGGGGGCGCCCGGGCGCCCAGGCCGGGCGTTCCGAGGGCCTCAGATCGCTCCCAAACTGGGGCGGGTCGCTCCCGGCCAACTGGTCGGGGCGGGCGCCGGTCACGGCGCCGTCGTCACCGCGGGCGTCCGGGGCCAATAAGGCGTGGCCCTCCGCCATGCCTCGGGCGAATGGAGCCTGACGCCGATGGTCCTCCCAGAGGTATCCGTGGAAGGCGTCCGTGGACCACCTCCCGAACCTCTTGACCGCTTCCAGGTCGCGACAGGCGTGGTACAACGCCGTCGCGCCCCCGATGCGCAGGGAGTGGGATCCCATCTGGCCTGCGTCCACGCCGCAGGCGGCAGCCGCGAGTTGGAGGAGCCCCTGCACCTCCTCCCGCATAATCGGGTGGCCATCGGGCCGGCGGAACAGGGGGAGCCCCGCCTCGGTTCCTCGTCCAAACCGGTCCGGCAGCTCCCTCTGGAGGTCGGCGAGTGCGTCCACGACACACAACTCCACCCCCGAACGGTAATGGTTGCGTACGCAACCTGCGTTAAACTGGTCCGTCTTGGACGACGTGATCGTCAGTACTACCTCATCGCAGTCGCTGAGCCTTGCGCTGGGTGTACCTCCGCGCATCCCCTGTACGTCCTGCCCACGCACCACCCGTCCCATACTCCAGGAGCGGTCCTCTTGGACCAAATACTCCGACGCGCGGAGCATGAAAAAGTACCCCGTCATAAGCGCCGCCCATAGGATGGTCGCCTCCCGGCGCGTGGCCGTCCCGTGGGCGAACAAGTACTCTCGGAGCCAGCGCAACATCCGGGGCGTGGCCGGCAGCTTCCGTTTCGCCTTTCCGTCCCAGCGGCGGAGTCCCTCGATCGTGGTCCAGAGCCGGCGCCGATCGGAGGTCACATCCCCAAACCCGGCCAGGGTGTGGGCATATCGAATGGCGAACAGGCGCTGGCGGATGGTCGTGGCTCGCCTCTTCATCACCTTGTACAGGTACACGACATACCGGATGAGGTCATCCTCATCCGTAAGGCGGGCGTCCCGAGTCTCCCCCTGCAGGTATGGGCTCCGGCCTCGGAGCCTCCGCCAGAGTACCCAGTTACGCCACCCGGCGCTGTAATTGGCCCGCGTCCCTTCGGCAAGCTTGGCCAACATCGCCTCGGTGGCGGTCGCATCCAGCTCGCGGGAGTCGGTGAGTTCACCTTGAATCCCTTTCGGGGCGCCCCCGCCGGCGTACCGCCAGGCGGCGGGCTTCACCAGCGCGGGAGCAGGGGCGCTGCGGGTACGCCGACGGGCCTTGCGCGGGGGTGGGGCCGCGCCGCCCACGCCGTCCATGGCGCTTGGCCTGGGCATGCCCGCGCCTTCCGGAACAGCGAAGGTCACCGCCCCGACCCGCTCCCCGCCTGC